AGGACAAAGAAATCAGCCCTCGACAACTTAACCGGCAGAAAAGATTTTTTGAAAAAATCCCTAAGCCCGAGGTCACAATTTCATGCAAAAATCTGACTTTTGGCAATTCACTCAAAAATGGTGCCAAGCGGTTGCAAATGCTCCCCTCAAAGGTTTGGCGGTCGAAACAGAAGGCTTTTTATCACAGGACAAGAAATCAGACCTCGACAACTTAACCGGCAGAAAAAGATTTTTTGAAAAAATCCCTAAGCCCAGGGTCACAATTTCTGAAAAAATCTGACTTTCGGCAATTCACTCTAAAATGGTGCCAAACGGTTGCAAATGCTCCCCTGAGAGGTTTGGCGGTAGAAACAGAAGGCGCTATAACACAGGACAAGAAATCGGCCCTCGACACCTTAACAGGCAGAAAAAGATTTTTTTGAAAAAATCGCTAAGCCCAGGGTCACAATTTCTGAAACAATCTGACTTTTGGCAATTCACTCAAAAATGGTGCCAATCGGTTGCAAATGCTCCCCTGAGAGGTTTGGCGGTCGAAACAGAAGGCTTTTTCTCACAGGACAAGAAATCAGCCCTCGACAACTTAACCGGCAGAAAAAGATTTTTTTGAAAAAATCGCTAAGCCCAGAATTTCTGAAAAAATCTGACTTTTGGCAATTCACTCAAACATGGTGCCAAACGTTTGCAAATGCTCCCCTGAGAGGTTTGGAGGTCGAAACAGAAGGCCTTTTATCACAGGACGAGAAATCAGACCTTGACAACTTAACCGGCAGAAAAGATGTTTTTGAAAAAATCCCTAAGCCCGGGTCACAATTTCATGAAAAAATCTGACTTTTGGCAATTCACTCAAAATGGTGCCAATCGGTTGCAAATGCTCCCCTGAGAGGTTTGGCGGTCGAAACAGAAGGCTTTTATCACAGGACAAGAAATCAGCCCTTGACAACTTAACCGGCAGAAAAGATTTTTTGAAAAAATCCCTAAGCCCAGGGTCACAATTTCTGAAAAAATCTGACTTTTGGCAATTCACTCAAAAATGGTGCCAAACGGTTGCAAATGCTCCCTGAGAGGTTTGGCGGTCGAAACAGAAGGCTTTTATCACAGGACAAGAAATCAGACCTTGACAACTTAACCGGCAGAAAAGATTTTTTGAAAAAATCCCTAAGCCCAGGGTCACAATTTCATCAAAAAATCTGACTTTTGGCAATTCACTCAAAAATGGTGCCAAACGGTTGCAAATGCTCCCCTGAAAGGTTTGGCGGTCGAAACAGAAGGGTTTTTTATCACAGGAAAAGAAATCAGACCTTGACAACTTAACCGGCAGAAAAAGATGTTTTTGAAAAAATCGCTAAGCCCAGGGGTCACAATTTCTGAAAAAATCTGACTTTCGGCAATTCACTCAAAAATGGTGCCAATCGGTTGCAAATGCTCCCCTGAGAGGTTTTGCGGTCGAAACAGAAGGCTTTTTATCACAGGATGAGAAATCAGCCCTCGACAACTAACCGGCAGAAAAAGATTTTTTGAAAAAATCGCTAAGCCCAGGGTCACAATTTCATGAAAAATCTGACTTTTGGCAATTCACTCAAAAATGGTGCCAAACGGTTGCAAATGCTCCCCTGAGAGGTTTGGCGGTCGAAACAGAAGGCTTTTATCACAGGACAAGAAATCAGACCTCGACAACTTAACCGGCAGAAAAGATTTTTTGAAAAAATCCCTAAGCCCGAGGTCACAATTTCATCAAAAATCTGACTTTTGGCAATTCACTCAAAAATGGTGCCAAGCGGTTGCAAATGCTCCCCTCAAAGGTTTGGCGGTCGAAACAGAAGGCTTTTTATCAGAGGACAAGAAATCAGACCTTGACAACTTAACCGGCAGAAAAAGATGTTTTTGAAAAAATCGCTAAGCCCCGGGGTCACAATTTCTGAAAAAATCTGACTTTCGGCAATTCACTCAAAAATGGTGCCAATCGGTTGCAAATGCTCCCCTGAGAGGTTTGGCGGTCGAAACAGAGGCTTTTATCACAGGACAAGAAATCAGCCCTCGACAACTTAACCGGCAGAAAAGATTTTTTGAAAAAATCGCTAAGCCCGAGGTCACAATTTCATCAAAAATCTGACTTTTGGCAATTCACTCAAAAATGGTGCCAAACGGTTACAAATGCTCCCCTCAGAAGGTTTGGCGGTCGAAACAGAAGGCTTTTATCACAGGACAAGAAATCAGCCCTCGACAACTTAACCGGCAGAAAAGATTTTTTGAAAAAATCGCTAAGCCCGAGGTCACAATTTCAGCAAAAATCTGACTTTTGGCAATTCACTCAAAAATGGTGCCAAGCGGTTGCAAATGCTCCCCTGAAAGGTTTGGCGGTCGAAACAGAAGGCTTTTTATCACAGGACAGAAATCAGACCTTGACAACTTAACCGGCAGAAAAGATGTTTTTGAAAAAATCGCTAAGCCCAGGGTCACAATTTCTGCAAAAATCTGACTTTTGGCAATTCACTCAAAAATGGTGCCAAACGGTTGCAAATGCTCCCCTCAGAGGTTTGGCGGTCGAAACAGAAGGCTTTTATCACAGGACAAGAAATCAGCCCTCGACAACTTAACCGGCAGAAAAAGATTTTTTGAAAAAATCGCTAAGCCCAGGGTCACAATTTCATGAAAAATCTGACTTTTGGCAATTCACTCCAAAAATGGTGCCAATCGGTTGCAAATGCTCCCCTGAAAGGTTTGGCGGTCGAGAACAGAAGGCTTTTTATCACAGGACAAGAAATCAGCCCTCGACAACTTAACCGGCAGAAAAGATTTTTTGAAAAAATCGCTAAGCCTGGGGTCACAATTTCTGAAAAAATCTGACTTTCGGCAATTCACTCAAAAATGGTGCCAATCGGTTGCAAATGCTCCCCTCACAGGTTTGGCGATCGAAACAGAAGGCTTTTTATAACAGGACAAGAAATCGGCCCTCGACAACTTAACCGGCAG